GGGCGGGGGGCGGGGGGCAGGCCCTGCCTGCTTCTCTTCATCTCCAGCCCCTCGCCTCCAGCTGCTTCCTCGTCATCAGCAGTTTGGGACGACTAATGGGCTTCTGGAACCTACTGTGTCTGGAACCCAGCTCTGGCACCCTTTCCCCATCTCGGCTGGCAGCAATCCGACCTTCTCGCCCTGAACTTGGGAGTCTTGTTTTCTACCACCATCCGCAGTTGGTCAGCAGACAGGGACTCCGGCGCCTTCTTCCAGGCCCCTCCCCCTGCCCTGCCCCCGCGCATGCGCGGCCCCCTCGCTGCCTCCTCCAGGTCTTGGCTCAAGGCGCCTCCTCAGAAAGCCTTCCTGGACTGCTCCGCGTACACCGTGAACCCCTGACCCTGACTCGTCACCGCATTTTCCTCTTCTTTACTTTTCTCTGTGCTTCTTTGTTATTTGTCACCTCTGGACTGTCATCCCCAGGAGCACAGCGGTCGCTATTTTGTCACCACTGTCCCCAGCACCTGGAACAGTGGTTGTGGACTGAAGGAGTAGGTGACTGGGGAAGGACCTCACACCTTCTGTGGCCTCAGCTTCTGTGGGCCTCGGGGTCCCTGCCTGGCGGTGGGGTGCTGATGGTCTTGAAGCATCGGGCGGCTGAGCGGGTGGCCCGAGACATTCCTCGGGCAGGCTGGACGCTGGCCGAGCGGGGCCTTACCTGCCAGCTCCCGCTGTGTGGGGCCCACGTTGCCGGCTGCCAGGATCATGGGCACACTGCCGAAGTAGCCGTTGCTGATGCCCACGAGCAGGGAGAAGATGCAGGGCCAGGCTGGGTGGCGGAGGGCGGGCGTCCCGCTGGGGTAGACGCACAGGATGAAGAGGGGGATGAAGACGGCACGCAGGCAGGAGCAGGCCAGCAGGTGCGTGCCCCGCCAGTCCACGGGCAGAGCCGCCAGGATCTGCGGGGGCGGAGAGCCAGGCATGTGGGCCCCGCCCCTCGCGGGCCCCGCCCCCCGAGGCTCCGCTGCAGCCTCCAGATGCCCACCCCAGCCCCAGACACTCCCGGCTCAGTCCAGCTCAGTGTCCTGTCCTTCCCTGGCTTCGGCCACGAAAACCCAGCAAAAACCCCATTACAGCAAAACAGTCCCTGCTGTGTGCCTGGCACCCACTGAAACACTGCACACGCCCCCGTTCAGTCCTCACGGGCCCCTCGCGGGGCAAGGCTGCTGACCCCACTTGAGAGACGAGGAACCTGAGGCCCGAGGGGTCGGGGCCCCTCGCATTGGCTCGCACAGCGGGAAGTAGCAGGACCGGGCATCGAATCCACTCGCTCCCTCCCGAAGCAGTTTCTTGGCCTCTCAGCTCTGTGACCGTGGGCAAACGCTGTCCCTCTCTGAGCCACTGGTTCTCCATCCACCCAGACGAGGCCCATGGCGGGACTGCCCCAGACTGGGAGCTCTGATCCTCCTCCCTGACCCCGCCCTGCGCTCAGAGCGCATGATGTGTGGCCCGGATTCTTCTGGCCCCTGCCCCTTTGGAATACTTCCGGTGTGTGCACCTGTGCTGTCGGAGACCTGTTAACTACTGAGTACAGGGTGGGAAGGTTCCGGCCCCTTGGACACAGCTGACACTCCAGGGCTG